CCTCCCCCCCCCCCCCCCCCTGCTACCAAAACCTTGCCACATAAAACCAATACATTCTTTATTACCTGTCTGGAAAAAACAGGAAAAATCTGGAGTTGCACTGCTCCCAGTAAGTAAGTATGTGGATACTATAGTATTTTTAAAGACTACCTAAATTTGAGTGTCTCACATCAGGACAGTATGCCCTGTCTAGCGCATTTACAGTTTTGAGATATTTGAGCATTCTCTTTGAGAAAGTAATGTGAAGATAATTATTGGGGTTGGACAAAACACCCAGCTGGTTCAGTTTTCTGTCTCACGTGATGGCTTAAAGAGACCCAACAAGAACAGGGAGAGGCATACAATGATGGTTTCCTTAGTGAACTTGTAGCAGCCTGCAGCTTGGGGTCTGCCTGAGCCGGAGATTCCCTTCTGTGTTCAGCAACACTTGGTATACTTTCCTCTTGCTCAACAATTTATATAATCTTTTTGAACCTATCCACATTTTTGACATTTGCATCATAATGTAACAGTAGTTTCACAGCTTAACAGCATATTCGTTTGTGTGTTTTGGGCAGTACTTAATCTTGATACGTAATGATTTTATTTGTTAACTTTGTTATTTTATTTCTAGAAATAATGAAAAATTGTTCTTTACTGACCTTTATACAATTTCTGATTTTTAACTCTCTAGAATCTTGTTAAGTACTCTACTCTTTCAGGCTAAATAGAAAGTCTAAGTGTGTTTACTTTCCTTCATAATTAGAAGAATTCTTTTATCTTTTTCTGTATTTTTTTTTTAATGTTCACTTACACTTTTTTTTCTGATGGGGGAGGGGAGCTGGGGACAGAAGAGAGGAGGGTGCATCACTTAAGATATGAGCACACAAAGATTTCATACCACAGCATAAGGGATTTCTGTGTTTGTGTTGAAGGTTTGGGGGACAGTACACTTGTGCCATTTTTCCTCTTCAGTACTTTCCTTGAAGTTCTAACAGTCTGTTTGCTTTTTGTATTACCAATGGTGTTTTCTCGCAGGGTTGTCTATGGTAACTCCAGGTATTTTGTTTTTTTTAATCTGTTATAACACTATGCACAACTAATTATTATCGTACTTCACGTGGATTATGTATTTGGAATCTTATCTGCCATTTTATTTTTCAGCTGTGTAATATTTTGATACTGTGGTACAGTTTTCAGCAGTCAGCTTTGATTTCTGTTGCAGTGGATAATTTACTAAACCAAGAAATTCAGCTTCCTCACTGTCCATATATGACCGAATCAGGCAGGATGAATTCTTCTGGTGACCTCCTTTCACTGAAAAAGCTGAACACTTATTTTTAACCTTTTTGGTTTTTGTCTGCTAATACAGCTCTTCATTCATAAGAGGACCCCCTCCATGATTGTTGAGTGTTTTTTAAGATGCTTTTGTAAGGGAACTTGTTACGTACCTTGGAAATCTAAATAAGTCAACCATATCATTGTTCCTTCCTCCTGATTGCTTTGAGTGATTATTAATAGAAATAATTATTACCATTTACAAAAGTAACACTAATTCTTTCACGTAGTATTCTGTTTGTGTATCTACTAATTCTAACCTTTACTGTTTCTACAGGTTTGCCTAGTAGAGGTATCAAATTTACTTGTGTACAGTTCCCAGGAGTCCTTTTTATTAATAATAATAAAAAAAGTCCACATTTGCCACTTATTGCTGCAGTATGGAGTGTATTTTTAACCAAATATATCAACAGAACACCTAGATTCGATAATTTGAAACTCTAGAAAGACTACTTTTTGGTCCTGGTGGCTATTTCTTTTACTGTTTGTGTTCAGAAAACTTTCTTTTTGAGATAATTCCTCTAGCTTAATTCTCATTTAAGTCTAGAATGGGAGCCTCAGAAAGTTCCTGTGTACTAAATACTGACTGAAAGAATTCATTGCCTTTGCTATGGGTTTTTGGAACTTCAGTGCTATAAAGCCAGTAATGAAAGCATCTAAGTTTGTGCAAACGTGGGCAGACTATTTTGAGGACAAAAAAATAGCATCTCTCTTACTCCAAACTCATGCTAAATTTGAGGTATGGGAGTTTTAGGTTATAACAAAGGAAGAAATCATCAGATTTAAAAATTGTTTTTAAATGTTGAAACTCTGTTTTTTCCACTCTAGCTGTGTTCAGTCATTAAGCTCATTTGATTGAATTTTTGCTCAGAAAGGGTCAGTCTGAAACAAAGTGTTCTGGAAGATTTCAACCTGAATGGTCACTGTGTGGTGTAACAATGAGTAATTGAAAATAATAATGGTATCAGCCGGACCTGTAGTATGAGTAGGTGACTGTTGTGTTTTTTGTTTTTTTTTTTTTTTTTTTCCTCCCCGCTTTTTCTTTAAGCCTATGGAAAAGTGTTCCTAGTAAGGAAAGTAAGCGGCCACGATGCTGGAAAGCTGTATGCCATGAAAGTACTGAAGAAAGCAACAATAGTTCAAAAAGCCAAAACAACTGAGCACACAAGGACAGAACGACAAGTATTGGAGCACATTAGGCAATCACCATTTTTGGTCACATTACATTATGCCTTCCAGACAGATACAAAGCTTCATCTCATTTTAGGTGAGTAGTTTTCAGGAGTCAAGTCTTATGTTAATGGAGGAAAAAAAAAATAAAATCTGCCCTTTTATCTCCTTAATGTTTTGTAGGGTTTTTTTAATGTGGTCTTAGGTACTGTGTGTTTGGAGATTGTATGAGACACCATAGGAAGTAAAATACTGCTCATCTTCAACAGTGTCTGTGTTTGTGGTTTTCCTGTTTGAACTTCAGTGTGCTACTCTGACTGGGGAGGGTGGGGGGATGTATTATCGTTGACTTAGATGCAGCAGAAAATGTATGTGACCATAAATACCTAAACCTGAGAAATATTTTCTTGAACTTGCCTAGAAGATGCAATTTTGATTTGCACTTTTTTAATCATTATTATATACTGCATTAGTTTTCTACAGATTTTCAGACAAGCTGCTACCATGAATGAAAAGGTCTTAATCTATATGAATATGGGCATTAAAGTGATTCAGTTTTCCTCTGCATGCTGCCTTTGTGTATGTGGCACAGAGGCTACTGATAAGGTGGGATGACCAAGTGTGACTTTGTTACTGGGATTAGTTGGTAGGAAAGAAGAAAAAAGCAAGGAAAATTTAAGCAGCAGAAAGCATTCTAGTTCAAACATACTGCATATTTCACTCTAAGAACACATTGTATATTGTCTTCAATGTGATCGGTGTTTTTTAAATGCTCTCATTGTCTGAGAGGACAGGGCTACCTGTCACTATGCTGATGAGTTAGTATGCTGTTTTAGCACTGAAGTACTGCAAACTGAAAGATGTTTATCAGGCAGGTCTTTTTTTCTGAACAAATGCACTCATAATGTGAATGATGCCAGTTAAAGATGATTGTGCTTTCATTTATTTCTGGTCAAATTCCATACAACACTAGAATCTACAAGTTGCTGGCAGGGTTTCTTGCTGCAAAACGCTGGTGAAAATACTTGTATTGTGGATCAGTTTCTTGTTTTATGCATTGTGATACTTCCTTTTGGTAAGTTCTACCAGTAACTTTCGTAAATTTCTATTTACGAGAGATGCTTGATGATGAACTATTGTATAGCAAGCCGTATTAGAAGCAAGCCTTATTAGAACATTCTTCATTCCACTTCTGTCCTTGCCATTTTGCTTTCCATTTTGATGTGAAGAACCACATCTATTTCTGTAGCATTTGCAAGGTTGGTGGAAGACTGATCAGGAACTTTCCTAAGGTTTTCACCTCAGATAGAACTTCCATATATGTGTGTCTTTCTGTTCCCTACCACTATCCTTTTTCAGGACAGTAACATTTTGGGGAAAGACACTGAGATTAAGGAGTTATATTCCTTTTGCTTTACTCCACAATTTCATTGCCTTTGACAAGTCTTGTCTTTCTCAGGAAGATGAAGGATTTTTACTGATTTACTTCATTTACTTCAGGAGCTGGAAAACAGTATTAAAATCAACTCTAAGCCTTACTGCCTCAGGAAGCATTTGCTGCCAAAACTTTGTTATGAAACTATTTGATCTTTGAGTACTGAGATACTTGCATGTTTCAGTTTTTGGATATTAAGAGGCAATTCAAAACCACACATTTCTGTGCTGAAAGTAGAGCTTGTTCATAAGGCTTGGTACCACTCTAAAACTAGAAATATTTTTACCTTTCAGATCAGCAGCAAATTTTGTGTTTGGTATATAAGATGTATTTGGAGGAAAATTACAAGCAATTTTTAAAGACTGCTTGCTTAGAGTATTTGAAAAGAAGAGGAAAATGAATGATCAAGTTAATGCTTGGATGCAGAATGCCTTTTGGTAGTGAATTATTTGAAGAAGTGAATGGTCCTGTAATTGAAGTACAAGTTTTGCAATTCCTTTTAGCTCATAACTTCCATTTACGGAACCTTTATTAACAGGCTGATTTAGACATCAAATTAGTAAAACTTTATGAATGTTATATGTATCTACACCACTGGCTGTCAATTCTTAGGAAGGTGTTCTATGTGCATACCTTAGTTTCATATACTAAGTGAGATAATACAGGTATCTGAGGAGCTCAAGCTTAAATGGAGTATTCACTAGATTCCTTTTGAAAATGAGTTGAATATTGTAATAAGGATTCTTACAAATTCCTCTGACTAGGACATTAAAGAAATATGTAAAATATTGTCGCAGGCTGGAAAATGCTAAAGAGACAAAGAAAAGTTAGAAATACATTGATAGCTTTGATTCCTTCATGTTAACCTTTTAATAATTAAGATTTCATATTTTATTTTTTGGGGTATTTAACTTATTAATAATTTGGAAAAACATTTGCAAGATTAAATGAGGAAAAATATAAACATGTCTTATAAATATTATAGTATTCTTTAAATCCAGGTATTTTTAGCTAGAATGCAGTTTAGATCCAAACCAAAAAAACTCTCACACCTGAGGTTGATGTAGTTACTTAAAACTAAATACATAGTAATGGAGAAATTTAGATGACAAGGATAATTAGAAGGCTAGAAAAACCTCTTATGACAGGAAAATTAAAAGCTTGACATTATATTCTCATAAGAATCAAGAAAGGAGGGAGCCCAGTAGTTCTGAAGAACATTACATAGCAGATAGTGCAGACTGGGCACATGCCCACCATAACACAATGTTAAGGTGATGTTTAAAGCAAGAAATTCAAAGCTGATGTATAATTAAAGGCTTTTCCTTTTGTTTTTTTTTACCACAAAGGCTGCATGAACATGAACCTATTCTTAGGTTGAAATATTATGTTAGAATATCAGTTGGGCACAGAAAGGTCCTTTTTTCCTTCTTTTCTAGCAGAAAATGGGAATAATTAGAGGGGTTTAAAAATTTCTTTTAATGACTTTTTATAACAGCAAAAATCTCTTCTACCTAACATGGCCTAAAGCTACCTTATAATTCAACTGGGCTTCACACCCTCCCTGACAAAATAACTATTTGTTCCAAGTTTTTTAATGTCTATTATGTAAATCTTTGTAAATCACTTCTTTGATTTTTGGAATTAATGTGTTTCAGAGGCTTCTGAATTTTTGGAAACCAGTCTCTGCTTTTGGTTTTGTACCTAGCTGAACTTGGGGTATGAGCAACATGTCATTTCAGTTTCAAAAGATTTTAGAATTGGAACCTCAGTGCAATATTTAATACAATTCTTTGTGCCATCAGATTACATAGCTGTATGAGTTTAGTCTGGATCAGGTGCAGACATGCAGCTGCATTTCTGCCAAATTTCTACAATATGGGGTTTGGAGTTGATTCCAGTTTTTAGGTTTACTATAAGCTGTGATTGAAAGAACAAAGTATTGCATCCATGTGAATACCTGTTCTATACAAAGCTTGTCACATGAGGTTAGCCTACTAATACTTTAAAAAAAAAAAAAAGTAAAAAAAAAAAACCCTGAACTGTCAGATGGAGTTTATATTGAAGTAATTGATACAATTTTTTTTTCCCCCATTGTTAGTGGTGCATTTGATCTAGCACCAAGAATTTGAAGGCTGGTTGTTCATTGGACTGTGGTTAGTGTTATAACCTGAAAAGAATTAGGCTTGTTCTACCACTCCTGTGGCACCTTTGGTTTATATTTGTCACAGTCCTTAGAACAGTGCCTGGGAATTCAGTTCTTACCTTGTACTAAGTTAGCAGTTCTGATTAGAAATATTTTAAAAAATTGTTTGTTATCTTTGTTTTCTCCATGATTAGAATGCTGAAGGTTTTTTGGAAGAAGGAAGCAGTTGTAAAATAGGGGTTATTTATACTTTATTATAATCTTTTTCATATGCTTACTGATCTAGATAAATAATCTTCCTCATGTTGTTTGATTCCACTAATAATCATTCCCAAACAGAGAACTGGAGAACTAAAAAAAGGAGAGAGATCAAAATGTCTATAACTTATATATATGCTTTCTCCTTTGAAATGTTAACTTATAATAGGATTGGACGTTTTTAATAGATTTACATATTATACCAGTGAATCTATAGAAACCATATTCAAGAAAATGTTGAGTAAGATGTTGTGGGGCATGTTCCCTGCTCTGTATTTGTAGAGCTCAAATACAATATGGGGGCTGTGGGGTTGCAAATTAATGGCTTTAATGTACGCCGCTAGCCTAAACAGCTCTACTTCTAACGTGTTTGTGTTGCAGTGGAGCTCTGTTGTAATAATTACTTTCTTTTTCCCCCTCCCTGACTGTGGGAAAACCCTTGTGTCATAGACTGCAAAGAATGAAAGTGTGGTTTCCATGAGGGAATGTTTGTGGAAATAATCTCCTCCAGTAAGTTTTGCCATCAAAGTTCCCCTTGTGAAGGGTAAAACTTGTAATTGCCCATAGCTGATTATTTCACCTAATACCCGTTTTCTGAATTGCCTTTCTCTATGTCAGTCTGCCTTGTACACTCTTACGAAATGCTTAAGAGCAACGAATATTCCGTTTGTAGATATCATTTGTACTTCTTTCTTTTCATATTCTTAAATAACTAAAAGACAGATTTTGCAAAAAATAGTCATCTTTATAATTTATGGATATATGAAGCTTATTTTATGCTTTTGCTGCTTGTCTAAAAGTTGGTTGTGTTCTTCCGTCAGTCCTCTAAGAAGGAAATTGAGTATTGTACATCATGACTTAAAATAAAGTAAAAGCATCTGATCCCAGAACATCTCATTTAATAACTTAGAAAGTACCTATTAATATTCCAATAAGAAAATTAAGTTGTCAGTGAAATTATAAGGTTCTTTGTTCTGCTTTTTAGACTATATAAATGGAGGAGAATTGTTTACTCACCTTTCACACAGAGAGAGATTCTCAGAAAGCGAGGTGCAAATTTACATTGGGGAAATCGTTTTGGCACTTGAACATCTCCACAAGGTAAGGTAACTTTATCCTAGTGCTGATTTTGTGGAACTACAGCTGCATTCTTTTCACATCATATAAAGTTAGTAAGGAGAACTATATTTTTTGATTGTTTTAAATTCAAAGTAACTTTATCTGGCAATGAGATGTTAGTTGTATAATTAGAAATACTTCCCAGTGAAGTATCTATTCATGTGCACCAGATTAAGGCTGCAAGTTTTTGCCTGCAATGTGAAGAGTGGTGTTATTGACAAATGATGGTTAATTTTTAGTAATCATTATGAAATGGTGTATATCAATAAAACTAATTTTTAGTCAACGTGACCAGTGTTTGGGTTGCACTGTTATTCAGTTGTCCTTGTTTTGATAAAATTAAACAGCAGAGTTCTGAAATTTTGGCACAACTGTGGACAAGAGAAGTGTTACAGTTTTCAGAGGTAGTTAAGTACATTTGTTGACAATTACAAAGCATGCATGTATGGTCTAGAACACATTACAGAAGCATCCATTTTCATTCTTAATGAAAGCTGACCTGAGTTTTGCACTCAACAGCAAGTGTTCAGTCACTTTTAGATTCAAAGGATATAGTATGTCCTTCAAGACATTAATGCACAGTGTAATTTCTGAGAATTTTTTAGTCACTCACAGTTATTTCTTCAAAGGCATTTTAAAGTTGACTTTTGAGTGTAACTTTCAGGTGTCAGATTAATAATGGGAGTTTTGCTAGCTTCGTATTTAAATGCAATCAACAATGTCTCCTTGATGTGGTTACACTGACTTGGAAATACTTTTTCTTCTGTTTGCAGTTGGGGATTATCTATCGGGATATAAAACTTGAGAATATTCTCCTTGATTCTGATGGCCACGTGGTGCTGACAGACTTTGGTCTGAGTAAGGAGTTTCTTACTGATGAGGTGAGTATTTGAATCTCCAGTAAGTGTGGACAGAATCCAGCAAGATCACAAAGTCAGATTCTGTCTCATTGAAATCATAAACACATTTGAGAGGGGAGGAAAAACTGCCTTCTAGACTCTTACTTCATAGAACAAAATCTAGTAGTCTGTTTTACTGGATTTTGAGCTTTCAAATCATTGGTCTTTGGCCTGCCAGTGTTGTCAGACATTTTTGTCTGTTCTAGTTTTCCCTGACATGCCTTCATGCTCCCTCCTGCTGCCCTTTATGTGAAAAATGAGAGATCCACATAAGTCTGAAAAGCCACTTATATTATAATTTCCAGATGCCTTTTTAAAAATGCTAGACTGTGCTAATACTTTGCAGTGACTAGGCAAATGGTATGCTATGACTCTTCTTTATGCTAATAATAATTAATGTATTATTATCTTGTCTCTTTCTCATATCTTTGTGTCACTTCTGATAAGCTTAATTGCAAGCTTTTAGGATAAAAGCTTATCTCTTATTAAATATGTGCATAGTACCTAACATAGTGATCTCTGACTGTTGACATTAGTTGTTAATTACTTGTAAGGTTCAGTTTTTATCTCCAATGTTTTTTAGATTTCAGAGAGTCAAAATTGCGCAAGATTTTACTTCTGAGAGAATTTAAAAATGGCTGTTTTTTGGCTTTCACTTTAGGTATCAGAGGTATTGAAATCTGGGACTGCAGATCTAAAAGTCTTTGTTACAAGCAGCAAAGGGGTTTTCTAAAAATAGGTAACTGGTAGTTTCCTCTAGAATATTTGCATTTCAAATGGAGTCTGGTAGGATTCGGGAGGTACCATTTTAAGAGCTATGCAACGTTACTTTCTGAAGCAGGGAAATAGTACAGATAATGTTAGTATATTCCTTTTAAATTATAGCATGAAACCAAGAGGAGGTTCAACTGGCATGACAAGGGATTAGCAGCAGATTTGCAGACCAGTGCAAGAGAGGAAATACAGAGAGACGCAGTTTTCAGCAGGAAAGAATGATAGTAAAAGGTGTGGCTAGGGAGAGTAGGACCTGCTTAGAGTTGAGAGAAGCTGTGCTGGGCAGAAAAGATGAAGTAAAGTACATGGAATGGTATTACTGCACCGATGTGAGAGAAAAGGAGCAGTACTCCAGACTTTGAGCCAAAGCTGAATGAAACTGAAATCTTCCCTGTGATAAGAATGTCAAAATGAATCAGGACCTTCTTTAAGTCTCAAAACAGCTGCTTTTAGGAAATATACGTATTTTTGATCTGTGCTCACCTTCAGGACATCTTTTACAAGCAAGGAAAGGGTAGGACTTGGATAAGCATCAGAGATGCCTGTCTGCTTTTCCCACACTCTAAATCAGATTCCTCTTTCTCTAGTCATTAAATAAAGCAGTCTTGCTTCTTGGTCATTTAATGTTGGTTCCTCTGACTCTAATGCATTCTGGTTTTAGTATATACCTCAGAAATCTCTTAATTTATTTTTTTCTCATATTCTCCTTCATGTTTTATATTTGTCTTACCTGTCAAAAAACTCAACATCTCTAGTGGTTTTTTTAAGGAAAAAAGTAATTGCAATTGTATTGTTTGCTTTCAAAATCTAAGAAATTATCTGCACTTGACTACAGTTTTCATGTGTGCTATTGTAATTTAGCTACTGAACCTAAACATGATTAGAATGATGCATTCACACACAGAAATTGACATTTCATATTGTATTTTCTGTAGACTATTCAACTACTACTAGAACACTTACAGTTCACATTACAAAAAACACTCACACTTCTGAACCAGCGTACTCACAAGAGGTAAAATTTGCCTGTATCACTGCATAGCTTTATATTTGTTTTCATGCTCATTGGGTAGCTCTTTTAAATAAAATTACACAACTGCATGTCAGATGCAAATGTTATACTCTTAATTTAATCAGAGCAGTATGATTTCCTTTCTCCCCCTTCCTTCACACTTCATCCCTGGCCCACCCTGCTTCTTGCAAGAACTTTGACATTAAAAAAGTATACTTATTCAAGTGGAATTTATTCTAGTAACCCCCCTCTTTGGATTGTATTTTCTGAAACAAGATATATTGAGGTTAAGAATGTATAAAAAGCATCAGCAATTACAAGTATGTGTTTAGAATTCTTATCAGAGAGAATTCTTTACCATGTATTTATGAATTTCGGATGGTTTTGTAGTCAGGGATACTTGCTAGGAAACATCATAGTTCAATGTTTTTATTATCTTGGCTTTAATCTGATGGTTGTTAAATATTTCCAGGTACCTGAGCAAATATAGAATCTAACAGAAGTTGTTTTATAATAAAAAGAGAGTACTCTTTCTTGACTGTAATAACTATAGCAGATTAATTGACTATTCAACAACGAAGAGATGGGAAGCTGCTTTTCCTAAGCACTGTTTAAGTGAAAGGAAGCAAATCCATGTGACTTCTAGGAAAACAGAAACCTATTGATTTCTGCCGTGCAGCTGCTGAAGCACGAGCGTGAAGACTGCATTGTCAAGTATCATCTTCGTTTTACAATTATTATGTGAAAATGCTTATTATATGCAAGAGTTACAAATCCAAGCTGAAAACGGTGTGGTTTTAAGAGCTTTGAAGCATTTTGTGCTACTGTTCTGCTAAAAACTGAAATTTGTCTTGTACAGGTGAAATGGCAGTCTGGTTTTGCCTTTGTTTTATCTTTAAAATGAAGTCCCTATGCTTGTATTTGCATGCAAAAAGAAGAAATAACCTGACTGGAATAAAGTAGTTGAATAAAATTGCATTTTCGCATAGGATAGGTCAGTATTACAAGGTATTGAGGTATGAAATGACTTCTGATAGTCAAATTTTATTTAGTATCTCATGAAGACCTACAGTTTGACTAGCGTAATGACAGAGTGGGATTAGGTAAGAGATTGAGATTGAAATGAATAGTAACTTTTTAGTTATTAAGTTTTATGGCATTTGTATTCTTAGCCTCATGATGAATTTAAGGCTAGTCTTTCGGATTTTTAATGCTCAATGGAATTGCAAAGAAAATCAGGGTAAAAAAGACACTTTTTAGCCTTATGCTTTCATGCATCTCAGTTGAGTTCCTGTCTAGCTGGGATGTAGAATATATTTGCACATGACATTAATATAAATTATTATCGGGGGTGTGGGGAGTTGATAGGACTGACAGACTTTGTATTGAAACTTATACAACACTGTTTTGTTCATTGCATAAGTGCAGTCACTTTGCTATTTTTTTTCAAGAGTCGTGCATTTCATTTGCCTTTAAAAAAAACAAAACTCCTAAACGTGTTTTTTTTTTGTTGGGTTGTTTTTTCCCCATCTTATTTCTTGTGTAGTATCTCTATCTTCTGGATTTGTGGCTTAGGCATATTTTTATCTTTTTATCTCATTAATAGCTCTACTTGTATGCTGGAATTGTTTTGATTTGGTTAATATCAGCTTAACCTAGTTATCAGGTCTGGTCTTCATTTTAATATTTATTGCTAAAATGCTACTTAATATTTTAAAATCTTTTTTTTCCCACTCCCTTTAGTTTTGTAACTACACTAAAATTATAAATATAGAGATCTTTACATCTTAGAAAAAATAATCTGAACACATTCATTGAATTCTTGTAGTAATAATCTATTCTATTGGACCATGCATAACAATTAACAATTTTCTTGGTAATTAAATCCCATAAAGTACAATTCCTTCCAGAGTGTAGTGAAATGCTCAGTTCTTCTGCGCTGGTACACATCTTCTGCATTAGCTAAAGTTTGTTTTGAAGTTTTGTGTTTGTTTAATGAAGTGTAAAAAAAATTATGTGGTAAATACTGAACGTTGTCAATCTTCAAACAATGTATCTGAGAGCGTACAAATGCCTTAATAAATAAGAGTAGATATTTTGTGTGAGGGATGATTGAATTGTCATCTAAGTCAGTTGGATGGGTATCTGTGTACTTCTGTCTGATGTGTAGAATGAATAGTTCAGATATAGTATTTTTTTCCTATCTGAAAATCTCTTGATCAGAGTTGCAAATTTAGTTATAACTGTCAGATGCTTTTCACTGTTGAATTGTTGTTTGTTTTTGTTTATTAGCTGGCTGAGTAAACATTTTGTTCTGGAAAGAAAGTTAGTATGTAATTTTAAAAGAAAAATTTTCCTTTAAAGGAAAACTATGGATTTTGATAGATGAAATAGGAAGAGATTTGTACACATTCTTAGAGCAGTTTAAAGGTAGTCCAGAACAGAGGGAGGTGACTACAACTTGACTCTTGTTTAGTGCTGTATGAACTGTCATCTCACTTGAGTGACCTGGCACATAAGCTGTGCATTTAACTTTAAAAGACCCTTTATAATTATCTAATTAAAGTAATAATGTCTGATCACTGAAATTTGATAGTGCATCCTCTGAACATTGAGCATCCTCTTGTGAAGATGAGTTAGAATAATCCATGCTGTGGATGACTGTTACTGTATCTGCTTGCTTTTTAGTTAAAAAATTGTTCAGTGATGTAGACATAGCATATTTATAAGGAGTAGATTTACACTTCTGCAAAGAGGAAAAAGTAAGAAAGAGTAAACTGAAGTTAGGCCACAGAAGTGAACATTGGTTATAGATCTGTGTGGACAATTAGACATTATTTCCCTTATTCTGGAAAAGGAAATGAAATGATGGCAAAACCTTTTTGCTTTAATTGGTGTACTTCTGTTGGTGTTTTAAGTGTCCTGAAATTGAATATTGAGAACATACCAAACACTCTAAAGGCACATAACTGAACTGGACTCATTCAATTGCAAAATCATCAGTGATCAGATGACTGTTCATGCCTTAGCCCAAGAAGTATCCCTTTTTCAATGCTTATCACAAAGATGATTGTGCTTTCCCAGCATGGAGCAGTAATGTAGAAGACTGGAGCACAAAATACATTTTGCCCAGATTTTTATGCCAAAATCTCAAAGTGCCATGAAGAATTTTTGCAAATGAGATCATGATTTCTTA